GCGGGGTGGGGGTGGGGGTGGGGGGCATGGTCAAGTGCAGGCCTTGAAAAAGTGTACGATGAACATAGTATGGTGTCAAGCCGAGCTATCGTTCTCTCCTCTGTACGTCAGATGCGCTGCAGCAGTACTATATTCAAACTCCTAATAATAGTGGGTGGTTGGCGGGTGCTCTGGTGTGGTTTGTTTCTTCTTTCCTATCGAACATCTATCGTCTTGAACTCCCCTCCTTCTGTTTTGTGTTTGTTACTCTCTTGTAACACCTCTAATCTTCGTCACTTATATGACCTTATTGTGTTGCAAGTGCGGTAAAACTCTCACTAAAAAAATCACCTCCTAATCCTCGGAAAATACGTACCCCTAACGTACTCATATATAATGTAATTTACGCTGCTATCTAGCATCACAAGATTTAAACAGTTCACATGATGATGCGTTCTCGCCCTTTCCGACATCAGCGAATGCCTAGATCCCAAGCACCTCGTACCGTGTTGTTAAGCTTTTATTCAAAAGCTGAGCCTTTATTCGGTGATCACACAGGTATACAACCACGATTTGGTGAAGGGATCTAAATTTAATCCTCGTTAGAAATGATGAAAGAGCACTTCCCCCAGTTTCGTGTTTTATCCTTCGGTGGGCTCATTTTGGGGGAGATCTTTCTCATTCTTTCTCAGTCGCTGTCTGTTATAGGGTCAATTCGTATAAATCCCACTTTCATCAAACAAGCTTCAATGTGGCTGGTTCATAGATTCGACGGATTATTATAAATACGTTTCCGTGAACAGTTTCCTCAGCTCGCTCGAGTTTTATGACGTACCACTTGTCTTGAGTACGAAAAAAAAGAGAAGAAATAAACATTGAATGCTTGTACAAAATATGTGCTGATAATACTTCCTCACTTAAGTATTGTTGCATTTAATCTCCAAGTATGCGCGTGTGTGTGCAGTATTTACCTTGAGATCGTGGGTTCGGGGGTTCGAGCCTCAGCTCGGTCCGACGTTGTGTCCTTGGGAAAGGCACTTTAAACGAATTTCCCACTTGGTCGGTTCTAATAGTGTTGATAGGGGCGTTAAACCCATTCCATTTATTTATATTTTTATAGTATGTATCTGCAGCATCACTCATTACCGTTGAGGCTCATCGAGCTATTTCATCAACCCTTTTCCATCTTTGTCTCTGATTACGATTATCATTTAGACGCTGTGGGTGGTTGGCAGGTGCTCTGGTGTGGTTTGCTTCTTCTTTCCTATGAGACATCTATCGTCCTTATCTCCCCTTCTTTTTTATGTTTGTTACTCTCTTGTAATACCTCTAATCTTCTGGCGCTCATATGACCTTATGCAGTTGCGAGCGCCGTAAAACTCTTACAAAAACAACACATTTAGACGCTGTTTACTGTTTTCACATCAGAGGAACGAAAATTAGATCTATGCTCATCACTATGCGGGCAAGTGTGAGCAGTCAGTAGCTTTGTACATGTGTTTGAGCTCAACGTGATATCCATCCACCCATCCATCCTTCAATCCATCCATTCATCCATCCATCCATCCATCCATCCATCCATCCATCCATCCATCCATCCATCCATCCATCCATCCATCCATCCATCTATCTATCTATCTATCTATCTATCTATCTATCTATCTATCTATCTATCTATCTATCTATCGATCTATCGATCTATCTTAGTGTCAGTCTTCCTTCCCCTCTTTCTATCTCCTCGTTCACTTGGAAGTTATCTTTTTATCTGACACACTTTCTATCCTTGATTCACATGTTAACGTCACTAGTTATATCTCCACCCATTGTAGCAGAAAGCAGCGGGCGAGAAGTGTCTGATAACACCACAGCTATTTCTCCCCTCGATTAGATATTCCCCCCCTTTTAACTCTTACGTCTCCACTCCTCTTTCAATATACGAGCTCCCATCTCATCAGTTTTTTTCCATCTTGATCTGTTTCAAAGTCTTCTAATACCTTGTTGACAGACGGAATCCTGAGAGATGCAAATCACTTTATTTTCGGTGAAGTATTCTCGAGATGGTTTGCAAAGAGGTAAAGTGAAGCATCTGACACACATTTACAACAGAATCTTACTCGTTGGCGCAGCTTTGCAATCCCCCCCCCTCCTCACCCCTACCTTTCTCTCCAAACCAACCATTTTTTTCTGCTCCCCAGAGCTAGTCTAGAGTGAAGTCTTT